TTAAATTTTATTATTTTTTATATACATTAATTATAAAAAAAATATATTTATTACATATTTATCTTATATTTTAAAAATACAAAATAAAAAATCTCAATAAAAAATCATATATCCATGAGACCTATCATTCTCCACACTATGAGACAAAGAATACTCATGACTCTGCAAAAAATTTTCATAAAAATCCTCATTCCCTATTGTTGGAATAGGCCCAACATCCAAACAGGGCTGTGCATAACAGGCCTAGGCTACCGCCCACTAGCCCACGTTGAGGGAACACCAGTGCAAGCATACCCATGTGACCAGCACCACGTGGGCCAATGAGATGTTTACACGTATAGATGCATGTCAGCACTTGGGGGCTATAAATACCCCCCAACTACCTCCGATGAAGGTAATTAATCTTTACGCTTCTCTCTCTGCAAGTACTCCTTGAGAGCATCTCTCTCTAGAATATCGAGTATTGATGACTTGAGCGTCGGAGTGTTTTCCCCGAGGAAACATCCTCGGGATTTTCAGGTGTAGAAGCAGCTAAGGACTTCAACAGTGTTGGACTACGAAGTTGCCCAAACATTTGGCGCCGTCTGGGGGAAACCGAACAAGAGGCTGTGTAGTTTAACCGGCAGAAAGACAAAATGGTCCGTACCTTTACTGGAATTCGCCCTCCAAGAGATGAAATGGACGAACAGGAAGACACTCAACTGTCTGAGCCCAGTTTGAATAATTTTAGGACAATGCCAAGAAACCTTTTCGTTGGAGGAGCAGAATAGGATCAACTGAGTGAAACAGATGATGATGAGAGAACACCAACTGGGTATGGAACTCAGCCCGAACATTGTCAAATTCCAACAGGAACAAGGCAAAGACAGCCCAGGCAAGGCAATCTACAACAGGAACGACCTGAAAGGTCGACAGAGCCTGCTTGAACAACCAAGCTCGAAGAGAGAACTAGAGTTCTCGAAATGGCAATGGGTAAAATCCTTGCTCGTCTGATCCCGGATGACCCCCTGATTCCTTTGTTGAACAGGGATGCCGAGCCAGCTACGGTCGTTGCAACTTGAAACTCCCCCGCTCTGAGCAACATAATAGTGCCGACCAAGCCAAGGGGAAGTGGGAAGCTAAACAACGAGCCCAGCTCGTCCAAACATAGTGAAGAACTAATGAGAAAGAACGCAAACCTTGAAAGACAGTTGCAGGATGTGCAAAAATCCATTGACGAGTTGAAAAGTCCCAGGTCGCACCAACAGACCTTCGATTTGGATAGTGCCCCACTAACCTATCCATCACAGCAGAACCGTATCAAGAGGGATTCAAAATTCCCCACCTGGAGACATATGATGGCTCGAGCGACCCAGATGAGCATCTGCACACCTATCAAGCCATCATGAGAATCCAAAATGCCAATGCTGCCATGATGTGCAAAGTGTTTCTAGCGACACTAAAGTCAACAGCCAGGAGATGGTATCACAAACTCCCTAGACATTCTATAGACTCGTACTCCCAGCTCGCCAAGCTATTTTCCAACAAGTTTGCGAGCCAAAGGGAGATCAAACGCACAGCGACCGAGCTGATGCAAGTTCATCAGAAAGAAGGGGAATCTCTGAGGGACTACATGCAGCGATTCAACAAAGCCACCTTAGACATTGATAACGTCCCCGATACCATCTGCTTGTCTACCTTGCTGCATGGTCTGAAACGCGGCCGGTTCCTAGACGACCTGCTGGAAAACCCACCGAAGACATGGAATGAAGTCATTGACAGGTCGGCTACCTTTATACTGTCAGAAGATTTCCAGTCGTCCAAGCGACGAGCTGATGATAAACAGAACAAAAGCAATGAGCAACCACTGAGAAGAGAGGAAAAGAAGAAGCAGAAAGTCAGCAAGCAATGGGGGAAGCCAGCTAAATTCCTGAAATATGCCAACTACATCCCTCTGACCTTGCCAAGGTCTCAAATCCTGGCACAAATCCAGCACTGGATTAGAAGACCCTCAACCCCATTGCATGATTCTTCAAGAGCAGACAAGAGCAAACATTGTACTACCATCGTGTATACGGTCACAATACAGAAGATTGCCAACACTTAAAGGACGAGCTGGAGTTCTTAGCTCGCAATGGGAAACTAGAAGGATATGTTCAGAAGCTCCATAACCAGCAACCATCCCAAACTCACTTTGTGCAAGGATACGACCGCCCTCAAGGGCAGAGGTACCAGCTCGGTGGCGCACAAGATGTGTATCAAGATAACCAGTATCCTTCCGAGTAGGGCAGGGCATACAGGGGACGTCAATTCAATAGGCGAGGGCAAGGACAGAGGACTGCTGCCCAGAACCAAAAAGATAGGAAAGGGGTAGGCTATGCTGGGATTCCCCCGCCCTCTAGTACAACAAACATGATCTCGGGAGGTATTCACTCAGGAGGCCAAAGCGCTCGAGGTCGCAAAGCATATGCTCGCCAGGTGATGACTGTTAATAAGAACAGGCCCTTGAAGCGCCCGTTTGAAGAAGCAGAATGGGAAAATGCACCTATTACCTTCAGCCCGGCGGATTACAAGCGAGCAGACGGAGAGCCCGACGTTATGATGCCTCATGCAGATCCCTTTGTGGCAACGGTTCATATAGGTAATCACAACGTCAACAAGGTGTTTATCGATACTGGTAGCTCGCCAGATATCTTATACTAGAGCTGTTTTCAAAAGATGCAACTGAATCCGAGCTCGCTGAGAAAATATGAAGGACCCATATATGGGTTTGATAATCAGCCTGTCCCGGTTGAGGGGGTTGTTACTCTTCCCATATACGTGGGCTCAGAACCGCGATTCAGGATGGCCACTGTTAGCTTCTTGGTCGTCAAGATGGAATCAGCTTTCAATGCTATATTAGGAAGAGCCACCTGTGCGAGCTGAAGGTTGTTATCTCTCAACCCCATCTTTGCATGAAATTCTCAACTCCTCAGCGGGTAGGAGTACTTAAGGGGAATTAGAAGATGGCAAGAGCCTGCGATCAAGATACGTTCAAGAAGGTTGAGCTCGCTGCAGTCTCGACAGATTCTGAAAGTCACAGGCCGCCCTAGATCGGCCAACAGACAATGAATATATCAGATATTGAGCACCGACCTGAGGGTGTCGAGCAGAAGGTAGAGCCAGTAGAGCCAGTGGAGACAGTTCCTTTAAACCCTGATGTGCAGGAAAGAACAGTTAAGATCGGCACCAAGCTCACAGAAAAAGAGCGGGCAGAGCTTCTTGAGTTTCTAAGGGTTAATCAAGACGTGTTTGTATGGACTACGGATGAAATGCCGGGCATCCCAACAGAGTTGACAGGCCACAAACTCAGCACGGACCCCACCAAAAGGCCGGTGGTGCAAAAACGTCGCCTTTTTGGCCTTGAGAAGCAGGCTGCTATAGATGAAGAGATACAAAAGCTACTACAAGCAGGCTTCATCAGAAGAGTCGAATACTCCGAATGGGTGTCCAACCCTGTGCTAGTTAAAAAACCAAATGGCAAGTGGATGATGTGCATTGATTTCACCAATTTAAATGAGGCGTGCCCGAAAGACCCTCATCCCTTGCCAAATGTCGAGAAGCTAGTAGAGCGGGCAGCCGGACATGAACGGATGAGCTTTCTCGATGCCAGCTCGGGTTATCACCAGGTCCGGTTGCTGTTAGACGACCAGGAGAAAACAGCTTTCTACGCTGGTGACGCAATCTACTGCTATGTGATGATGCCGTTTGGCCTGAAAAATGCTGGTGCTACATATCAGAAACTGGTGCAAATCATCTTTAAGCTCCAGATCGGCAGAAACATAGAAGTATATGTGGATGACATGATAGTCACCAGCGTGCAAGCTGAGGATCACATAGACGACCTGAGGGAGACCTTTCAAAACTTGCGCCAAGCCCGAATGAAGTTGAATCCCTTGAAATGCACATTTGCTGTAGAGTCAGGAAAATTCCTAGGGTACGTGGTATCCAAGAAAGGAATTGAAGTAAACCCAGAGAAGGTTCAGGCCGTTCAGCAGAGGGAGCCGCCCAGGACTGTAAAGGATGTGCAACGTTTAACGGGCCGTGTCGCTGCGCTGCATAGGTTCATAGTCAAGTCGGTAGAAAGATGCCTCCCGTTCATCAAAGCCCTACGAGAGCCGAAGAACTTTCAATGGACCAATGAGTGTCAGCAAGTGTTTGACGAGCTCAAACAAGATCTGGCATCAGCACCCCTACTGTCCAAGCCTGTGGAAGGGGAGAGTTTATACCTATATCTAGGGGTTACGGAGGAGGCAGTGAGCTCGGTCTTACTCAGGGAAGAGAATAAGAATTAGAAACCTATCTGCTATGTGAGCAAGGTTTTACAAGGCGCCGAGCAGAACTACCCACTAGCAGAAAAGGCTGCTTTTGCTCTGGTGTGCACAGCTCGTAAGCTGAGAGCTTACTTCCAATCTCATCAGATTGTTGTCTATACTGATCTGCCATTGAGGAAGATATTACAGAAACCGAAACTCTCTGGTCGGCTTATCGGATGGAGTGTCGAGCTGAGTGAGTACGACCCCAAATTTCAGCCGCGCACGACCATAAAGGGCAAGGCTGTGGCAGATTTCCTGGTGGAATGCATCTTGGCGACTATGGAAGAAAAGGCACCCGAACACCCAGTCTGGGTCTTGTATGTAGATGGCGCCGCTAATGTTGACGGATCGGGTGCTGGGGCTGTCCTAGTGGGCCCAGATGGCTTTAAATCCGAGCATGCACTGAGGTTTAAGTTTCAGACAACTAACAATGCTGCAGAATATGAAGCCCTCATTTATGGATTGAAGCTGGCGTCCGAGCTGAAGGTACCGAGTATTCAGGTTTTTAGCGACTCTCAACTCGTTGTAGGCCAAGTGAATGGCAGCTGTGAAGTTAGGGATCTCCAGCTAGGTCGTTATGCTTCTGTGGTCAACAGATTGAAGTCAGGATTTGTCTCTTTCCAAATTGACAAAATACCAAGAGCAGATAACCACCGAGCTGATGAGCTGTCAAAGTTGGCCTCCTCGCAGGACCTTAACCCTCAGAGGTCGACAATTGTCGAAGTGCTTGACGCCCCAAGCTACGTCGATTTCACAATTGGGTGTCAACTGCTAAGCACGAATCCCTCCTCTCCGAGCTGGACCACTCCGCTCATTGATTATCTGCAAACAGACAAGCTGCTTGAAGACCCGTCCGCTGCAAAGTTGATTAAACGCAGGGCTGCGCATTTCACTTTACTGGACAGTCAGCTCTACAAACGAGCAGCCTCAATGCCCCTATTACGCTGCCTTACTCCCTATGAAGCTGAATATGCTGTAAGGGAAGTTTATGAGGGAGTATGTGACACACACATAGGTGGCAGAACGTTAGCTCGGAAACTTCTGAGGCATGGTTACTACTGGCCTACCATGGTTGAGGACACACAGAACTATGTCAAAAAGTGCCGACTTGCCAGTTCAATGCTGATGATATTCACATGCTAGGTATCTGAACTTGTTCTAAAGTTCGTTCCATCCTCATGTTTGCCTATAAACTGAGCATAAGTATCTTTCTTGAAATAGGATAAATGCTCCCATCACTCTCATCTCCCTGGCCTTTTGCTCAATGGGGAGCCGACCTACTCGACCCTTTTGTGAAAGGCAAAGGAGGTTGCACTTACCTCATTGTCGCGGTGGATTACTTCACCAAATGGATAGAAGCTAAACCATTGTCCACGACAACAGAGAGGAAAATATAAGAATTCCTGTTTAATTCAATACTATGCAGGTATTCTTAGGTGACTTAAGCTATTGGCACATTATATACAAGTGTAATTTGTGGCTCAGCTCGGTCATCTGTTTCCAGGTTCGGCATACCTAAACGGATCATAGCTAACAATGGTCCACAGTTCCGAGCCACAGCACTGAGGTCGTTCTGTAACGACTATGGCATTGAGCTCGCCTTAACGTCTGTATATACTCCACAGTCCAATGGGCAAGCCGAGTCTGCCAATAAAATCGTCCTGCGAGGCCTCAAGACGCGTGTTTTGGCTGCACATTCTAATTGGGTTGACGAGCTCAATAAAGTGCTTTGGTCTTGTCGCACTACACCCAGCTCGGCCACAGGCGAAACGCCATGCAGCCTCGCCTATGGACCTGAGGCCGTCATCCCTGTAGAGGTCGGATTGCCATCTGATAGAGCAGATCGGCACAGCGACGATCACAATGAGCAACTTTTAAGGGAGAACCTAGACCTTGTGGAAGAGGTTAGAGAAATGTCTCGAATAAGAAACATGGCACATCAAAGTCGTGTTGCAAAATTTTATAACAAAAGAGTTCGAGCTCGTCAGTTTCAAGTAGGCGATCTGGTTTTATGCAAAGCTCGATTAACCAATAGTTATTCACACATGGGCAAGCTCGCTCCTAATTGGGAAGGTCCCTATATGGTTGTTCAAATTAAATGACCTGGATCTTACGTGTTAGCAAATATACAAGGACGCCAGTTACCATACATTTGGAACATACATAACCTTAGAAAATTTTACAGTTAACCTGTGTATTATTATCTTATTCAAGTCGTTATCAAGCAATTGTAAACAACAATGTACAGACAATATACGATAATCAATACAGAAATTCCAAAGCAAAATTCATATTGTATTTCATCAAGGATGTTTACATTTGAATTACATATGGAATGAATCCATTGATCAATACAAAATGCAAAAGTAGTACAAAAAAAGGAGGGAAATCCTAAATCTAATCATTCGTCAGGTCAACGGGCATAGACGCATCAGCTGTAGTAGGAGGAGAGCGAGTTGGAGAAGACTGGGCTGCGGGCTTGGGAGTTGGCGCATTGACGGGTGATCTGCTCGGCATCACAGCGGGCTGAGAGTTGGGAGGAGTGCTCGATGGCTCCTATTCAGCTACAAGAGCCCCTTCCACCCATCCGTCAAAAGAGGGCATCCCCAATAGATCCTCCCCCTCTTCTAGGATTGAGGGAGGTCAGACGGGTACTCCCTCCTCGTTCAGATCCCACCTCAACCGCACTATTGTGTCAACGAGGGGAGCAAGGCTCTTACCCTGCTCGTCAATATCCTCCCCATCAAAAAACGCCAGCTCGCGTATGGGGAAATCTGGGCGATGGTGCAGCACCTTCCCACGGATCTCCTTGTAGATCTCCGTGGTCACGTTCGCAGACGCCACCGCCACAGCATCTTGAAATACGGCCGAGCCCACCAACCACTCTACACCTTGAGCGCGGGCGATACTGACCGAGCGCCCATGAGATGTCCTCAGTTCATCCAAGGCCCCTTGAGCTGCGCTGAGGTTCTTGTCGGCCTCGCCGACCTGGTGCCTAAGGGAGCTCAGCTCGTTCTGAACACGATCCCTTTCGGCCTCAGCCTTCTTGGCCCACTCCTCAACCCGGGCGGCCTCCTCCTTTGCCGCCTGAATCCTGCTTTCTCTTTTAGCACGGGCTCGCTCCAATTCCTCCTTGAGCTCATTGATCCTGTTTGCGAGCTCTTCTGCTCGGCTCTCCGCTGCAGCTGCTCGGTTGGCCATTTCAGAGCCTTGCAGACGATTGACGTCGTCCATAAGGCTAGCTTTTTCTGTAGCTAGTTGCTTGCAGTTAGTGTTGAGCTCGGTATTCTGAGAGCGAGCCCCCTGCTCACTCTCGAACAGTGCCACAGCGTAGTTGAACGCCTGCCAAACAGCAACAAGTGTAAGTCTCTAGAATGGAATGCTAAAACAATAACACAAGTGCGAATAAATACTTACGTCCATTAGTTTGACCATGGCGACCTGCCCGCCATGCTGCTGCACAAAAGTCCTTACCCGTTGACGATCCACGGGAGGCAAAAGCTTTGCATGCCCTGCACCATGGCAGGCTGGCAGTCGGGCTTCACATAGCTGAAGCCGTCAGGATACGCGATCCTGGGCGTCGACACAGAGGCCGACGCAGACGCAGGCTCTGCTGCTGCCCGCGCCACGGTTGATGGCGCGTTTGGTGAGCACGCGGCCGCAGGTCGAGCTGCCTGCGCAGGCTAAGTCCCACCACTTGTTCTGCGCCGCATGAGGGGGACCTCATCCTCGCTATCCGTCTCCTCACGTGCACGCCTGCGTGCACTCGGAGCTGCAGCCTCAACTCTGTGTTCAGCCCGTGGCCTAGATGCCGAGCTGGATCCTCGGTGTGACGAGCTGCGTGATTGTGGCGCTGCAGGCGGCCGCTCGTCGAACCGCGTCTGTCTTTGCAAGGTGCTGCCGGCCCCGCGACCTCGTGAGCCCTGGGCTTGCTGACGTTGGTGCTCGAGTATGCTGCTCATTTCTCCTGCACAAACAAATGTATAAGACTCAGCTCGGCTAGAATGCATACTATACGATAAAATTATACCTTCGCTAAACAGGTTTGCCACGTCGACAAACCCGAACACGGCGAGCTGCTCCGAGGTAACCAGGGCATCTAGATCTATCAAGTTTTCCCTCCTCGCATATTCCAGCAGCTGATTCTTGAGATCCGTGTCCCGTGGCAACAATTGAGGGTAATTGACGTGTGCATTCGGCACACGCCACTCAGATAGCCGAGCAGCGAGGTCGTTGCTAATTCTCTCTGTTTGCGTATCGCGAACAAAGATGAATTGCCTCTTTCACCTCGCCACCTTGTTCCTGACATTCTTGAACAGTTGGCTCTTCTCTCTCCCGGAGAGGTAATACCACCTCGCGCCTCTGGAGTTGGGACACAGCCGGCACTGGAACAGCGACCTGAACACTATTGCCTTTTCCGGGACCTCCAACCTCGCACACAACAGCATAAAGCCTATGATGAACCTTATGCTGTTGGGCGTTAGCTGCGTCAGGGCCAGCTCGTAGTCTGCCAGTAGGTCGAATATCAGCCCGGGCAGGGGAAATCGCAAGCCGCCTTCGAAGTGATCCAAGTACATCGGTATCCAGCCCGTCTGTGACACCGTGCATGCCCTCTCATCTTTTGCACATGTCCGGAGCAGTATCGTCCTGGGGATGTGGTACGCCCTCACAATCTCCTCTAGCTTCCTATACCCACTTATTAAGGGCGCACTGTCTGCTACTTCGTGGTGCAGTGCGGCCTTGAATCTAAATCCAGCGGACAGGTCCTTGGGCGCCTTTCGTAGATTGCTCAACCTGCCCGTGATTGTCTTGCTTTCCCACTCTCCAATAACAGTCCGATCTGAGACATTGCTAACCACATCCCCCATCCCTTCCTCGCGGCTGGGTGTCTCCTCCGAGGACGAGCTGCTGGACGATGAAGTATGGTGGTCACCACCGTTCTCCCTAGCGCTGGAACTGGCGCTGCTCTCAGGCGTCATCGTTTCGGGCAAGTCTTGCAACGCCGGCGGCACTATCATCGTGATAGGCTCTACAGATATAACCTCCCCCTCTTCTCCCTCTCTGCCCTGGTTACCTCATAGCTCTGTAAATCCTCTAACAGAATCCATTTTACCTGAAAGTAATACGAAGTTGTAGTGTGTGGTGTGGTGTTCTATTCTTCAAGCCGAAGTGTTTCACTACAGAGAGTCTCAGCAGGTCTCAAGCAAACAGTGAAATGAAAATGGAAAAGGAAACGGTTACACAAAGAGTAAAACTGAAATTGCAGTGTTAATTGCCGTACGTGTGTCTCTGACGCGCCAGTTAACGTCCCACACGTGGCAAGCGTTTAACCCTCTCCTATATAACGTGCGCCTGCTTTAGTTGTCACGTCCCCTCAAATGCTGAGCCAGCATTTATGGCGAGGAAGGCAGAGAGATACGGGGAGATCAATCGTATCTCCTCAGAGATTTGATTGACTCAAAAAATCCTCAAGATTCAGATCGTACCAGGCTGATATGTTCCCCGTCCCATTCATACCAGCTCGTCATTATGACCACATTTACCAGGTCGTCACGAACGTGACTGCTTGTCCAAAATCACATATCGTTTGCTAAAGATTCAGGTTGTAACAGGTTGGTCTGTCCCTTTTCCCGTCCAACCCAGCTCGTCAGGACAACCACATTTACCAGATCGGTAGAAGAATGACGGCTTGTCTAAAATCATAGATCGCTAAAGGTTAGAGATCGCTGCCCTCGGCTTCGGCCCCATGTCCTTTCAACGATCCCAAATCGTTCTATGGTTGAAGTCGTCACATATCAGGTCGTCCCTATGTTTGAGGGACAACCTTATTTGTTCACTTTAAAACCTTCGATAGTGTTTTGGGATTCAGGTCGTCACACATCTGCTCGCTCTCATGTCAGCCTAAACAAGCTCGCTGAAATAGCGAGTAACACCCTAAATGGAGTGCATGGTTATCCACCAAGCGAGCTTACCTTTGGTGAGTCGCATCAGCTCGCCAATATACCCTGCCCACGCTGCACCGATATCAGCCCGCCTGTACACTTTCAGGCTCGCGAGCTCGCCCCATTTACTGCCACCTTTAAGCTCGGCCGTCAATGAGGTCGGCCGCGAGTTGTTAAGGCTGTCCATCATAGTCACCAGCTCGAGCGTTGGCCCACGGCCACATCCAACCCAGTTTGTCAACCGAATGCTGGGGGGGGAGTAATGTTGGAATAGGCCCAACATCCAAACAGGGCTGTGCATAACAGGCCTAAGCTACCGCCCACTAGCCCACGTTGAGGGAACACCAGTGCAAGCATACCCACGTGACCAGCACCACGTGGGCCAATGAGATGCTTACATGTACAGATACATGTCAGCACTTGGGGGCTATAAATACCCCCCAACTACCTCCAATGAAAGTAATTAATCTCTACGCTTCTCTCTCTGCAATTACTCCTTGAGAGCATCTCTCTCTAGAATATCGAGTATTGCTGACTTGAGCGTCGGAGTATTTTCCCCGAGAAAACATCCTCGAAATTTTCAGGTGTAAAAGCAGCTAAAAACTTCAACAGTATTGGACTACGAAGCTACCCAAACACCTATCATTAACAGGTGATGGGGTTCGAAACGAAAATGAAAATGAGGATGAAAAGTGTACCTACTTTCGTATGAACCTGTTACCATTTCTAGGTGTCATCTATTTTGAAAGCTGTCGTCACTGTAAATTGGCCTCTAGTGCAAGTGGTTCAACTGCTGTTGTTAAATAGCATAAACCAATAATTTGACGTCCTATATTCTATAAAGCAAGTGCTGCCCCATTCAGTTATTAATGACCAGTTGCCAGCACACCTACAACATTTTGCATGTAACATGAGTATGGTATTTGCATCCAACAATACACTTACTATAATATTTAA